AATGCTTTCTCCTCCATGGCACCTGATCCCATCTCTGATCCTTTTGGAGGTCCGTGTTTGCTCTGCTTCCGATTTGTATTGTTTCAATGGATTTTTGAGCTTAATATCTGTGCGTTATCTCCATATACATGTATGTTTTATTGTAATGACCAATAAACAATAACATACTACATTAAAACTTGTCTAATCCTTAAACCCCTGATTCCATAGAAAATGGCTGGATAACACAACATTCCGGATTATACAACATTTAAAACAATTTAATTTAATAAAAGGGATTAAAACTTTAAACAGTTATAAATAAGAATTTGGAATATGCAAAATGCGGTTTAGACAAGCTTAACTGTACATTATAAACGGGACGACTTCGGCTTTTTCATTGTCATCCTCGATCATTTATGTAGAAACGCCCCGCTATTGTCTGCATATGGTGTTTATATCTCCCAGGTGATTCGGTATGCAATCGCATGGTCTGAGTACGATCAATTATTTAACAGAGGGAGGCTACTGACAATAAGAAGTTCGTCTGTATTTCGTAAATTCTATGACATAATGACCTTGTTTGCTTTTTGTTTGTTTAACGTCATTTCCAGAATTTTTTACTCATTTTGAGATGCCACCACATGCCGGTGGAGGGCTGTAAATTTAGACCTGTACTCGGCCCTTATGGCCTTTGAGAAGTGAAGATTTTGTTTTCGTGCCAGCACCTACTTTGCAAATACAGTCTATCTTGAGTGACATTTTACATACTAATTGTTAGGCCATTGTTTATGAGTACGGATTAGTTCGTTTATCAGGTCAATCCTAAGGACTCAGGTGACCGGTAGAAAAGGGATGCTTACTCCTCCTAGGCAGCTGATGCCTTCCCTGATGTTTACAGGCGTCCATATATTCTACCTTGTTCATAAAGTGTTATTTTTAAAGGTTTCATGAGATCAATTACTATCTGTTGTCTTCACTTTTGTCATTAATCATTATAGGTTGAGTAAATTTTTCTAACCGTATCGCTCAAAACAACAACATTTAATTTTCATTGAAATTAAAATATCGATATATATACAGATCGGTCGCAGTGGCCTAGTGGTAGGACGCTCGCTTCATGATCGCGACGTCCGAGTTCGATTGTCGTTCCCGGCTCTGTATCAAACCTGACATTACACAGACCTTCCTATATTAAATAGATTGTGTTCCTGCGCCAAGCACCCGGCATTAAAAGTGAAAGTCACGGGTCTTCGGATATAACCTTAAAAATGTAGGTCCTGTGTCACAGTTTGCGTTGGCACAATTAAGAAACCTTACTACTCAATGGCCCTAAGTGCCGATTAAAGATCTAAATTTGAAGCCCTTAACCGATATTCGGTGACATCTACTATGAGGTAAAAAATTCTTTTAAGGGAAGTAAAATATCAAATTATCAATCAATATCTACAGCATTATTTGCTTACTGTAACAAATGCCAGAAAATTCATCATACATAATTTAGTCATCAACAAATGATGTGTTTCAGACACATGATTTTAAATTACTTTGAAAAAATCAATTATTTTATGAGGCGCTGTTTGAGCGAATTTTTGGGTATTTTCTATTATCACAAAAATATTTCTTGATATTGAAAATGAAAGGGATTTTTTTATAATAAAAATTTTATTTTCTGATATTTTTGATGTTAAAAATAACAAGAAAATTCAAAGAATTGTGGTCCCCCTTTTTCGGTGTTTTAGTGGTTAGGATGCAATTATTTATGACATATTGTAGCTGTCTTGTTTGTGTTTCCTGTCTTGTTGTGCATCATACAAAAAAGACATAAATTATTGAATAAATAACAAATATAGCAAAGATTAAAGCTTCTCAAAACTACGTCAAACTTCAAGATCAAGATCACGAGGTCAAATATCATAATACAATCCGGAAGATCTTGTAACAAGTAATACATACATATGTGTAAATAAAATCCTTTTCTCTTCTGGAGCAAAAGTGATACCCAAAGTTAAAAGTTTTGATAAGTATGTCAAAATTCTAGGTCAAGGTCATGAAGTCATTGGTAATGCACATGTAATGATATGAAAGCCATCTTCTGTCATTCAATAGTTATTACCAATGTACATGTAAGATTAAATTGAAAAAGAAAAAGTCAAGGTGACGAGGTCAAAAACCACAGTACTTTCGGAAAGGTCTTGAAACAGGTAATGCACCTGTCAAATATACATGCCCTATCTTTCAATCACAAGTTATTACCAATGTAAAAAGTTTTGAGAAGTGGGTAAAACTACAAATATAAGATCACTTTTGGGAAGATCTTGAATCACAGGTAATGCAGTTGTCAAATATAAACACCCTATCATCTCTCATTCAGAAGATATCACCAATATTGAATCTTTTTTAAATTAGGTCAAGTCTGAAAGTCAAGGTCACGGGGTCAAAAATCATAGCAAATTTAGAAACGTCTTGTCACAGGTAATGTACGTGTCAAATATGAAAGCCCTCTTTTCTAATTCAAATGTTAAAACCAATGTTAAAATTTTGGAAAAGGAGGACAAACTTCAAGGTCAAGGTTACGGGTCAAAAATCATTGTATGTTTGGAAAGGTCTTGTCACAGGTAATGTACATGTGAAATATGAGGGCTTTATCTTTTCTCTTTCAAAAGTTATGACCAGGGTTAAATTTTTTGTGATAGATTAACACTTTGACAGATAAATGAGGTTTAAAGTCCCCTCGCTTTGGCGAAAGTGGGAGACAAAAAATGAACTGATTTTTAGCACTACTAGTCCGAGACCAGAAGAGCTTACACATTAGTAAGGTGTCCTTATGTCTGCCTGTCTGTCTTTAGACAACTTTTTCAAAATGCTACTCCGGTTTCAATTGTCTTGAAACACAAGTAGACTACAATAAGATACAAATCCTGTACATCAGTTTTTGATTTCGATCAAAGGTGTTGCCATGGTTACTGAAAAAAGATATGTTTGTGAAATTCTTTCAAAACGCTACTACTCCTTCGATTCTGGTTGATTTTGAAATTTCTTTGAAATTCTTTCAAGTCTTCCTCCTACAGTTTTGGTCCGATTTCAAAAATATTCGGTATGCAGATTGACTTCATTAAGATGGATAAATTTAGTGTATATGTTGTTTGTTTGTTTGGTTTTTTTTGTTTGTTTGTGTGTTTGTTTGTTTTTTAACTCGATAAACGGTTGAATAATGAATAGAAATTTCTGTGAACAACAGTTATAGTACAATAAAAGTTAATACACAAGTAGATTACACTGAGAAAAATTCAGTTTATTGGGTTTTAAGGTCCACAAAAATGATAAATGTTTCTCAAACCTCACGAGCTAAACTGTACCACTGTTTTCATTATTTTAATTTTTTTTTACATTTCAGAAATGTAATTTTCATCAAGATGCTACATACCAATTGATTTTTAAATACAATCTAAAAAGGCTTCTAAAATTTACTGGGAAATTGAAGACTGGTTACTTGTCAGTATTTTAAGAGCACATGTGTAAAGTAAATATATGATACACTTTTGTGAATGATACAAAAAATATAAACACAAGGATTTAATATATATCTAGCCCTCTATTACCTCGTAGATAGAACTGAGTTTAATACGGAATTCTACAAGATTTAATTGTTATTCAAGGGAAAATTTATAAAGATTTGTCATCCCTCTGTTACATCACATAAAATTTTCCTCTAATATGATGAGAAATGTTAATTATCGTTGAAATGCGAATAATTTCAGAATATATAATGATTCATAATTTGACAGAAATCGCCTTTTCAGTTGAAATTCTTTAAGGGAGTAATAATCCTTAATTCTACAGTAAGCTATCTCTCTTATCAAAGAGTCAATGAACATTAAAGTCTTGTTATCAAGTCACATTCACATTATCAGGAAATATATTAATTTCCTAATCATATTTTTTTTAAATATCAGATAAATCAAAGTTTATTTATTGATGAAAGATGGAGATAACGAATAGTAATCAAACTCAAAAGTCCATAAAACAATACAATCGGGAGCAGATCACGGACCCCTAAAAGCATCAGAGAGATCATTTGCCATGGAGGAGTAAGCATCCACTGTCGACCAGTCACACCCGCCATATGCTCCGTGTCATGAACTGCCAAACGGAAAAATCCGTAGACAATTCAGTTTGTAAATCATGGTCTAACAATTAATATGCAAAACAGTCAGCCAGCCACCATTCGACTTAATGATAGATTATATTTGTTGACATGCAAATATATGCTGATATCAAACAATCTATTTTTAGAGGGATTTTAAGATAACGAAATTAAAAATTCGAATTCTCGATATCAAGTTTCCGGTTTTTCTTATAGCTTGTTTGTTCGTTTGTATTTGAATATCAGAAAATAGCTTAAAATGCTAAAACGTCGAATCATATTATATGCATTCATTCTTCAGATAATAGATTCCTAATGAGGCTAGAACTTCTAAGCTACAAGCATGTATTTAAATTTACATATTTGCGTGTTTGTTATCACTTTGGTCCCTTGAGTCCCTAATTTATTGATTTTTCTCCATGTTTTGTCATTTTACTTCACAATAAATTGTTTTAAGAGTTACATGTGTACAATATATACATTTTTTAAAACAATTTCTTGAAATGTTATTTCTCGAAGACTGCAACCCAACATGATATATGTATTGCTTATTGACATTCCTAGAAAGCGCCGCAGTACATTACAGCTAATGAGATTTTCTGTATTTTGATTAGCATGATAATTGTAAACAAATGTATTTTGACTTATATTGCCTGTCATCCATTATGAGTTGAATAAAATCTCAAAATTCTCTGCTAAAATTTCAAACCTCCATCCAGCAAATCGTAACGCGTGTGGGAGATTGACCCGTAGAGAATTAGAGGGGCATACTTTAGCAATTTCGAACTTGTGTTTCTACTTCAGAATTTCTTAAGCTCTTGGAACACTCAAAATCTCTTAAACTCAGAAATATTTCAGAGGCATTGATTTTCTTCTGGCATCAGACGTGTGTCTCCCCCACGCTGAGGACGAACCCCACTGTTTCATGAACATAGATCGGATAATATTCCTGTTACAATTGACACAAAATACAACAGTGGCAACAAGCCATTTCTTTTGGATAATTAATTTTCACTGCAACGGGTCGAAAAAAATTATGACGATCTCCGAGGAATTTTCAGTGAGCTATTCTACAATAGACTGGATTAATAATTTACATTTATCTACCGAGCACTAATAGTAACTTCCGTTTCATACCGTGAGTATGCTGTTAAATGAAGATTATTGTATTCGTTGTCATTGCTGCATCTATAATTCTTAAGAGATGCAATTAGCTTCAACTCGCAATACAGAACAGTATTAAGGTAGTTTTCCACATAGTGCTACAATGGATGACACTACTGTTATTCTCATTGAAGCCTTGCGTGAGCAAGTTCTACGGAAAGATTATGGTGGTATGAGGGGCCTCGCTCTTGCATTTAAAAGTCTCGATATCGACTTTTCAAAAAGAATTGTGTTTGAAGAACTAAAAATAGGAATAGAGTCGTATGGCATACGAATGTCACACGGGTATTTACAACGATTGTTCAAGGCCCTGGATAAAGATAACAGCGGGGGCATCGATTTCCTGGAGTTCATGAAGGCACTGGAACCGCCAATGAAAACTAGCAGAAAGGCAGTCATCAACGAGGCTTTTGACAAATTGGATATCAGCAAGGACGATGTCCTAAATGTTGACGATCTAAGAGGTCAGTTTAACCCTTTGCAAAGTGTCAAATAAGTTTATATATCTTGTCATCACTACCTTCGCGTGTTTAGGGTTTTTGTTCCACACTGCTCCCCATAAATGTTTACTGGGGGCAGAGGGGACCGAAATCCCTTGAGATATCTATATAACGTACTGAAGCTATTTTTGTTTGTTAACTAGCTATCGGTACTCTTTTGCTTGATAACGAAAATAAAAAGTAATAAAAACTTAAAATCCAAGTATATACACATGTATGTATTGGAAATTTCTGTCTTCAAATATATTTGAGATTTGCATTGTTAACTTCTGTATTAATTTCAATATAGGCCTAGGACGTATATATATATATATATATATATATATATATATATATATATATATATATATATATATATATATATATCTTTTGATGCAATTTATTTAATTAGAACTATAGCAAAAAATTGCCATTTTATCGTTTGTCGAGGTCGTAAATTTTTCCTGTAGAATGCAATGCTTTTAATGAGGCAATCTCTATAATTAATGCTACACAATGTAAAATCTATCGTATTAATTCTCATTTTACGTTCTGTTTTCCGTTAAACAAAGGGATTGCCAATTGATTGCCCTAAGAGTTAAAGCTACATTTATCGTATCTTACAGAAAACCCATCAATGATTGGACAAAATTTTAGAATGAATAAAGCAGTTTGAATAATTATGATGAAAATAACAATTCTAGATTTTCTTTCATAAAGCCAGTTTATATATTGTTATTCTAAGGGGAACAGCAGAATCCAACACATGGTTTTAAAACACAGAAATGAAGTATTTTATTTGAGCAGTGTTTAATTCTGATTCCATTAAAACTTCGATTGCTTCCAGAATAAATGAATATTTCATATTCCTCATCTTAAAAGGGTCACACATATAATTTGTAAAATGGTCCAAAACTAAAAACAAAAATTTGATTTAGACTGAAAAGACCCTAAAAGCAATAAAAACAAACGTGCTTCTTACAAATTCTCAATCATATAATTTTAAATGATGGTCTAAACAGAGAAATATTAGGCATCTTTGGAGTACATTCTACTCAGTGATAACAGGTGATTGTGTGGGAGTTATGTATCATCGGGGCTTTATGATTCTTCGTCTAAAGTTCAAAGCTTTGTTACGTTACGTATGTATGATGTGTATCAGTGTTGTTTGAATAATCTTGTTACTCATACATGAAGAGTGAGTTTGTACTGTAATGGCTATGGATTTTACAACAAAGAATCGAAATTCAAAATAGACTCTTATAACTACTGTGAAATAAGGAGTTTCTCTCTATATATATTTTATTATGATTCACTATAAACATTTAAGATGATCATGTAATTACGCTTTTATTTTTTCCTTCACTCTGTTCATCCGCAAATAAAACATTTCTGAACCATAATTGAAAAAAAACTAAATTCAAAATGAACAAAACATTTATTAGTTATGAGTTATATACTCAGCTCTACACAAAATATTTCTCTGTTTTTCCCCATTCTATAAAATACAATTTAAGATTTTATATACATGTATAAAGATTTCCGCAGCAGATTCCGATGGAGAAATCTTAATCTATATTTAAGATTTAAAATACAATTCTTAAGATATCCATTAATTTTGCTTATAATATACCATTAATTTTACTTATAATATACAATTCTGAAATTAATATCATCCTTTGAAAATATAAATCGTAGGTCAAGGACGGCACTTATCATCCTCGTGAAAACTTTACATTCTACAACCATAGAAAATATAATATCAAAATAACAGTTAAATAATTCAATTTGCTCGTGCTGTTTTCTTCAAACATTGTATTTTCTAGCTGAGTATGAACTCGAATGAATAGAATCAGCAAACAACTGTTTAAATACCCAAAGACATTTTACTCACATATTAAAGCGCATATCTAATTCATACGCTTAAGAGAAAACATATCGAACACTCTACACTTAAAATAGTTCACTTATGATAACGAAAAGAAATTAAAATACATCCTTGCCTGTTAACTGATTTTGAAAAAAAAAAGTTTATATTTGAAAGGGAACTGTGAGTATAAGATGAATTACAGCATTGGAATTAAAGCAGAGTTCTAAGATGCAGGTCTAATAACGAGCCTTGCAAATAAACGCCCATTCTCAGTAACAAGGTGCAATCAATGTCGCCGGTTTATACTTGCGTTACTGTCGTAAAAATGCAACAATAACATGTAAGTAAATTACTTATCACTAACAGCACACATGACGAAGTTTTGTTTTGTTTTTTGTTTTGTTTTTTTTTTTTTTTTTTTTTGTTTTTTTGTTTTTTGTTTTGTTTTGTTTTTTGGGGTTTTTTTTTTTTTGGTTTGTTTGTTTGTTTTGTTTTGTTTTGATACAAACGTTACAAGTCTTTATTTGATGGTTGAATAGTTAGTCTTTTTGTGTTTTCCTTTTTAAATCAAATCACATGGATCTTTTATCTAGAATTCATTCAAAAACTTCATCATACTAGGGACACATAGATTCGAAATGTTTGATAAATGCATGAAAAATACATACGTTACCGATACTTCCGTTACCTAATGGTACGAAACTAACAAAAAGAGAGTAAACTAACTTTACACATCATCCCAAATGATTCAACCATGCTTGGTTAAGTTGCTTACGACATTCAAAAGTTCTCTAAGAGGGAAAATTGAAGGTCAGTGCGCTGATATACAGGAGTTGGATTGGAATAAGTGACGTAGCTTGGATTACACGTGAGTACATCGAAAAAATCTTAATCAATGTTCGTGGTATATGTTTTTTGTTCTTTGAATGCATAACTATTCTTAATCAATTTACTTAAATTTCTTTTATAATGTTAACGTTTTGCAAATGATTCTTTAACATTTGATACATACGTTACATGTGGTGTATACAAAATTGAAACTTTGAAAGTAATTTTTTTAACTCTAAAAAATGAAATTTCATGATATGTATGGTTTAGATTACTTTTTCTTTATTATAACCAGGCGTAGATTTGATATTTTGGCATTGACTCTAATATAATATTTCTAAATATAAACAACATGTATAAACAGTTTTTAAGTATTCTACTATGATATAATTTGGACTTGTAACACATGGGAATGCAGGGTTCCAATTGCACTTTTTCTCTCAAAAATATTAAATAAGATTCAGTAATGTCATTCTTCATTTACGCATAAAACACGTGATAGGATTTTGTCAAACATCTTTGTTGTAATGGTAAAGCATGTATCAATTCATACGTTCTTCACATTTTCTTTTCAAGGATCGCTAAAAGTCGAGTTGAAATTCAAAAGGCATATAGAGAGCGACAAAAACAAGAAGTCTGTGAGCCAGTGCTCACTAATAATACCCCTGCTCTGATGTGAATACACAAGTTTAGTTATGGACAGACACAGTGATAATCAGGAAATTGACATCGGATTTGTACAAAAATGAATCCCAACATATAGCATGCCTAAACAAAGAGTGTGTTAAAATTTCAAGCATCTGCGATGAGTAGTTGCTGAGAAAACTGCAACCAAACTTTGTTATGTATGGTACGGACAGACGCACGGATAAACAGGAAGTTGACATCAGATTCGTACAAAGATGACTCCCACCATATGGCATACCTAAACAAAGAGTGAGCTAAAATTTCAAGCATCTGCAATGAGTAGTTGCTGAGAAAACTGAGACCAAAATTTGTTATGTATGGTACGGACAAACGCACGGATAAACAGGAAGTTGACATCGGAATTGTAGAAAAAAAATGAATCCCGCCATATGGCATGCCTAAAGAAAGAGTATGCTAAAATTTCAAGCATCTGCAATGAGTAGTTGCTGAGAAAACTGAGACCAAAATTTGTTATGTATGGTACGGACAAACGCACGGATAAACAGGAAGTTGACATCGGAATTGTAGAAAAAAAAATGAATCCCACCATATGGCATGCCTAAAGAAAGATTATGCTAAAATTTCAAGCATCTGCAATGAGTAGTTGCTGAGAAAACTGCGACCAAAATTTGTTACGGACAGACAGACACACACACAAGGGTAAAACAGTATACACCCCTCTCCTTTGGAGCGGGGGTATAATAAAGCAAAGGGACCGAAATTTCTGCAACAGGAAAAACAAAGATTAAAAAGTTACTATGTACCAGCATCCAATATACAGTGTATGAGCAAACGAAAATTAGCAGAACGAAATCACAAATCTTAGAAACAGATTATCAACACTGGGAAAGAAAGAACATTATGATTTACAAATTGAGTCAGATACAACAATTTGGTTCTATGAACCCTGGACTGTCTGATACTAGGGAATCGGATCCTGGACCGGCACACCATCCCTTACACCCCTTATAGTAAAACTACCTGATTTCAGTCAATCGAAAAAAGGATCGGGGCTATAGAAAACGAAAAAGAGAGCACTATGGAGAGCTAGAAAATCATTTAAGACGGAAGACGAAATCGAATCATTGAAAAAAGCTCTACCGACTGAGCTACCATGAACGGTGAGAAGGAAAGGAAAGATAAGACAAAAACTTAAGTTAGAAAGTGCCGCTCTACGAGAAATTAGTGACAGTAAAAAGTGTACAACGAGAAAATCAAAATAACTGCTGCACAATATCGTGGACGGTCGTGTGACCAGGAAGTATCGCTTACTTTCAGAAATAAGTATATCAACAGGCATAGCAGAAACAGTCTTTACAAGCGTAAATATAAGAAACTAGAGAAATGCATCGAAAAAAGGAGAAGTCTGACAAAAACAATCCAAGTATCAGTTCACAAATTTCTACAAAGAGAGGACAACTGGCGGATTCAGCCAGGCAAAGCGGACTCGAAGAGAGTTGAACATTGTGAAAAACGACAGACGGCTGTACTCATTGATTACATGAGCAATATGCATGTGAAGTTTTTATCAGAAAACCCAGAAACAAAGGTTACCTTTAGCTTTATCCTATCGGATGCGATCAAAGAATGTTCTCCTTGC